AAGTGGTAAAATTAGCCAAAAATAAATTCAAAAAGTACTGACGTTTTTTATAAATGAAAGTAAACTTTTTCTACTTACATTTTAATTTTAAAAATTTCAATTCCTGTTACAAATTTACTAAGTGTATTATCTATCTATAATAAAAGTTTCGCTATTATTTCTGTCCGTTGGTGTCTGTTTGTCTTTCTGTGTGTTAGGAAGGCTCTAGAGAAAACACAAGGAAATTTAAAAGATGCATAGTGAAAGAACGTGACCTCTCAAGAAACATTTAGGAAGTTTTCAAAACGAAACGAAGAATGTGCAGTTCTTAGGCCGGGAAAGTACATAAAATTAAATGACGTCATTGATTCTTGAGTAAACATAGGATTAAAAAGCCAATGCTGGAAAAGTGCACAATAATAATTATTAATTAATAAATAATTAAATATAAATTAATTTGTCTAATTTTTAAGTGGTTTACATGCTGAGATTCTTTCAGGCATCCCTTTGGTGTAGGGTTGGCAGACACCCCCCCCCCCCATTAGCCCCGAAGAACGTCTACCGCCCCCCCCCCCCCCGCCAACAAAATACAATTTATATAGAAAATGTATACTTTAAAAGCGTCAGCCCCCCCCCCCCCCCCCCCCCCCGAGAAAAAAGTCTGAATGAAACTGATCAGCATTATAGAAGCAGGGTCTACCTTTAGTCTGTATGACTAAATGCGACCAGTGTTTCTTTTTAACTTTTTTCTCCCCTGATAGTAACGGGGACATATGGAATTTCCGGGGGGGGGGGGGGAAGCCGGGAGGAGGGGCTGAACTACTCTCTCCGGGGAAAAGTTTATTTTCTATATAAATTAAATTTCTTTACAGGGAACAGTAGACGTTCGTCGGGGGCTCAGCCCCCCCCCCCCCCCCCACCTCCCCTGCCCCGAAGAGTAGCCTAAAAGAGACTCTAAATGCGACTTTTGTCAAGTTTGAGCTTAGATGCAAGGTTCTCTCTCTAGATATATGTATATATATATATATATATATATATATATATATATATATATATATATATATATATATATATATATATATATATATATATATATATATATATATATATATATATATATGCAAGCGTATTCTTATTACACTCAAAGTATAAGTTACAGATAATTCAAGTCGTTGTATGTTTCTGAAATAATACAGCCTTTTAGGCCAACCTCTCGAAACCATATTTTATGAATTGAGTAAGAGTTTTTAAGCAATTGTCTTTCAAAATGTTAATTGCATTTACTAACACTAGAAACACATTTTTATTATCACATATCTGTGCTCAGTTATATTTAGTTTGATTTCTAAAGTGCGGTTTAGATTTTGCTTGTGCGTATCATATCATTTTAATACAAAAATAGGTAGTACACAAATGTATCGAAGTTCATAAACAAATGGCTGATGCTGAATCAATTTCAGTTCAAGTCATACGAGATGATTCATTCCTTGTGGCGATGAAAGCTTGTCATGCTTAAATTGTGGCAGCTTGTACTTTTAAAATGTAATTAGACACGAAAAAAAATAAAGGTACGTAACTACAACATTATAATATCATACCGATTATTCGTACGAGAAACAATCTGTAAGGTACGTAACTGCAACATTTTAAAAGTATTTTGATAAATTCCTGGTTAATTCCCTTTGACCGTCATCTTTTCAGTTGGGTGATTTGCTTTTTTTTCCTTTCTCGTATAAAAAGTAGTCCTCGACGTTTTACACCTACTTGAAAAACTTAGTTTTACAATTTTGTCTGTATGTCTGTGTGTCTGTCTGTGAACATGATAACTTTAGTGCCGTTTCAGTTATGTTGATGAAGTTTCATATATAGAGGCATTACATAAAATTTCTTGAGTGTGTCGACTTTTGAACGATTTCCAGTAACCGGAAAAGGTACTTACTCTACTTCCAGTTTCTGAAAAACCAAAAAACAAGTACCGTTTAAGTTAGGTTGTCAAAATCTACACACCTACAGCCCATGACAAGAATAAAACAAGACGACCCCAATCTACAAGATGGAAACAATAAATACGTCTCAGCTTTTTTAAAAAACCTTTTTTTCAAGGTTTAGAACTTGTTTTTAAGCTCCAATTGCGTAACTAAAAAAGAGCACTGACTATTTACATAAGGAATTTGTTTAAACTTAAGACAGAAATAAACATCACAATCGGATGTGTATTCAATTCCCTCTCATTCTCAGAGGCGTAGCGAGGGGGGGGGGGGGCGGGGGGGGACATATGTCCCCGGGCGCCGACCTTAGGGGGGGGGCGCCAAATTGAAAGTTTGAGGGGGGGGTGCAAATGAAAAGTTCGAGGGGGGGGGTGCAAATCGAAAGTTCGAGGGGGGGGTGCAAATGAAAAGTTCGAGGGGGGGAGTGCAAATCGAAAATTTGCTCCCGAGGGGGGCGCCAAATTGAAAGTATGTCCCCGGGCGCCGGGAAGGGTCGCTACGCCTCTGCTCATTCTATAAATTAGTGCTTTTCATTTATTTATTTTTTTGTCAATGAAGTTACTTTTTGCACACCGAAAAACATTGCAGTTTTGCACCTTATTTAGAGACAGCTGAAAGGAAGATTTTAAAGATGTTTGTTTGATTTATAAGCACAGTACATTACGAACATAAAACCTAAGGTTTGTTGTATTACAACAGTTAGTCTAAAGACTAAGGCCCTTTGGCATTTAGCTATAGACTACTATAGAGTAATCTAGCTGATTTCCTTTCATCAGGTCCCAATATTCCCGTGGATGTTGGCACTAGCCTTATACAATCGAAACTCTTTAGCTGAAATGTTGATTATTTATTATTAATCTAGATCTAGAATCCATATGTAGATTCTAGATCTAGACCTAGATCTAGATCTAAATACTTGATAGGACTGGTTGTTAACTATAACACAACTATTTTTAGCATTAGATTCTAGATCTATACTTTTTTATATTAGAAAAAGTGGAATGACCAGCTCATTAACTGTAATGTGAATTAAAACTATAGTTTAAATTAACATACACTGCTCAAAAGCTCTAACCATTTCATTAACCATTCCATTACACTGTTATGTGAATTAAACCTATGGTTTAAAGTGACATACATTGCTCAACATTTCAAAACCAAAAACCTTGTTTTTTTTTAAATTCAAGCTACTTAACACATAATTTTATTTCGTTTCAACAAAAGTATAATTATCCCACCTTTCGATGTTGACAAATAAAAAATCCAAAGGATTTACCGTAAACGTATTTTTCTAGTATCGATACTCTAATATACAACAAACTCTACCCCTAGAACTCTTGCCAGTGGCGTAGCCAGGAGTTGGTCATGGGAGGGGTTCAAATATTTTTCCATATGTATAAAATCATATATATATATATATATATATATATATATATATATATATATATATATATATATATATATATATATATATATATATATATATATATTTATATATATATATATATATATATATATATATATATATATATATATATATATATATATATATATATATATATATATATATATATATATATAGGGGTGTGAGTCCATGTGAGGGGTTATAACCCCCCCCCCCTAACCCCCCTTGCCTACGCCACTGACTCTTGCATTCTTTATGTAACTGAAACCATAAACGCATCAACGATACGGTATAAAAATATCTTGATGTAAGTCCGATACCCTCTAAGTGGTCTTAGAAATATTGGTATTCCACAGTATGGTGTGTCCATTTTTCAAAGACATAATTAAGTACTCCATTAGTTAATGTATACATATCGCATATATTTTTAGCATCAAGCTTTTCAAATACATTTGTTAAAGATTATTTTTTTCTGAGCTTGATTTTATTTCCCCTCCACAAGAATCTCACCCCCGCCCCTCCCACTGTGGCCCGTGACGTGACCAGATCAGACGGCACCATGAACAGCCAGATGGACAGTCACGTGGGTCAGGCAGACAGCTGCGACCGCTCGCGGTGCCATCAGAAGCCCTACGACCCGACCACTTCCGGTCACATGTTCGACTGGTGGAGGTGCTGTCCTGATGGGGCCATCGTGCGGCCCTGCCCGCCCCCACCGGCACCCCCCTCTACACCACCCCACTGCCGCCTGCCCCCACTACAGCCGGAGCGTAAGTTGACGTACACGTTTGTTTTCTTTTGTTCCTGTTGGTTTTGCCGTGCACGGCTTGATTGGTTCTTAATTTACCGGCACGGTTTTATTTGATCTTTGCTTGACCCAAATGTTGATATTTTGACCTTTCCGGGCTGGCCTTGACTCAAATGTTGATCTTTTGACCTTCAGGACTGCCCTTGACTCAAATGTTGATACTTTGATCTTTAAGAGCTTGACTAGCCTTGACTTAAGTGTTGATGCTTTGATCTTTAAGAGTTTGACTAGCCTTGACTTAAGTGTTGATGCTTTGATCTTTAAGAGTTTGACTAGCCTTGACTCAAATGTTGATACTTTGATCTTTAAGAGCTTGACTAGCCTTGACTCAAATGTTGATGCTTTGATCTTTAAGAGCTTGACTAGCCTTGACTCAAATGTTGATGCTTTGATCTTTAAGAGCTTGACTAGCCTTGACTCAAATGTTGATGCTTTGATCTTTAAGAGCTTGACTAGCCTTGACTCAAATGTTGATGCTTTGATCTTTAAGAGCTTGACTAGCCTTGACTCAAATGTTGATGCTTTGATCTTTAAGAGTTTGACTAGCCTTGACTCAAATGTTGATGCTTTGATCTTTAAAAGCTTGACTAGCCTTGACTTAAGTGTTGATATTTTGACCTTTCAGGGCTGGCCTTGATTCAATTGTTGATGTTTTTAACTATCACAGCTGATCTTGACCCAAATGTTGATGTTTTGACCTTTCAGAGTTCGACTGGCCGCTGTTTGAGGGACCACACAAAAAGACGGTGGACACGAACAAATGTGACGACGACTGTCAGGTCAGCGAGGACTTCTGGCCGGACAAGTGCCGGAAGAAGCGGAAGTTGTTGTCCTACCGCCCCCCGTGGATGCCAGCTATGATACCCAACCAGTGGGGCGTGGTCAAGTACCCCCCGCCCTACACCCACTACTGCAGGGAGCGGGGGAAACCCATCTACTTTGTCCACAAGGTGTAGGCAGCAATGGACAATAGAACAATGGAACATTTGGGTGTAGCTACAATAGAACAGTTAGGGGTAGCTGCAATAGAACATTTGGGGGGGGGGGGGTAGTTACAATAGAACATTTGGGGTAGTTACAATAGGACATTTGGGGGTAGCTAGAATTGAACATTTAGGGGTAGCTGCAATAGAACATTGGGGGGGGGGGGGGGTAGTTACTATAGAACATTTGGGGGTAGCTAGAATACAACATTTGGGGGTAGCTGCAATAGAACATTTGGGGGTAGCTAGAATAGAACATGTGGGGGTAGTTACAATAGAACAGTTGGGGTAGCTGCAATAGAACATTTGGGGTAGCTAGAATAGAACATTTAGGGGTAGCTAGAATACAGTATTTGGGGGTAACTAGAATAGAACATTAGGGATAGCTGTAATAGAACATTTGGGGGTAGTTACAATAGAACATTTAAATAGAAAATTAAAATGTGTATGGTAGCTACAATAGAACACTTGATGGTACCTACATGTAACATTTGTGGGTGGGGGGTCGGTAACTACAATAGAACATTTGTGGGGTAGCTACAATAGAACAATTGATGGTAGCTACAATAGAGCATGGTATGTATCTACAATAGAACATTTGGGGGGAGGGGTGTCTAATATAGAACATTTGTGAGGTAGCTGCAATAGAACGTTTGGGATTAACAGCAAAATATAACATTTGATGGTAGTTAAAATAGAACATTGACGGGCAGCTATAATATAACGTTTGGGGGTAGCTACGAAAAGAACAATTGATCGCAGCTAAAAAAAAAAACAACACAGACCATCTATTTAACATCTATTTTGTATTTAAATTTAAGCGGAAAAAAAATTGAAATGTTACGCTCAAATAAGGTAACTGTATTTCAGAGGCGTAGCTAGGGGAGGGCGGGGAGGGCGGTCGCCCCGGGCGCCGACCCTAAGGGGGCGCCAAAAGGGGTAGAAAAAAAAAATTACAAGCTCATTTTAAGCTGCAGTTTTGAATTATAAACAGTCAAAGTAAAGAAATTTAACGGCTGAGAGCCTTTGCATACTGATTTAACTGTTTTCTACCTTGATTGAGTAACTGTAAGGTATATCCTTAAGAAACAGTGACCGGAAAAACTGCTTTCCAGCTTTCCTAGATGGATGGGGGGGGGGGGGGGGCGTTTTTTCGAAGACTAAAATCGGAAAAATTAAGGAATAAATAACCCATATCACTCAGAAAAGAACCCATGGAACTAAAGCGTATTTTACGATTGTGTAACATATTAACAAGAGTTAGTGACGTTTAAAATTAGCTCTACCATTTTTGTCCAAGATGGTCGGGAAGGGGGGGGGGGGGCGCTTTTTCATCAACAAAAATCGCAGGATTTGTACTGGATCGGTTACTAGATAACTCTTTTAACACTTAGAAAAGAAATGTTTTTTCCTCTAGCTTGATTTATTATACAATCAACCAGTCAACGAAATACCCATATCGTATTCCAATGTGAACAATGATTTGCTATTGTATGTCAATTGTATGACCTTAATCTAACAAACTTATAATCCAAATATATATATATATATATATATATATATATATATATATATATATATATATATATATATATATATATAATTCTCTTCTGGGAGACGCTAGAAAACAAGCTGTAAAAGCGCTCCTTACCACCCCACCCCTACATGGTCTGGTGAGCTTTGGTTCCCGCTAAATGTTTACAGTCGTAGAGCCGGGTTTAGTGACGGCTATTAGTGGCAGATAATTTAGTTTGAAACGATTTTAAACTTAGGGGAGGTAACTAAGAGGAGGCTGCTTTCACGGGGGGTGGGGTGTAGGGTAAGGGTTGGGGGAAAGGAGGGTGGGGGTAGTATCGTCCTTAAGGACCTACTGATAGTGTTTTAAAGCAGATATTTTCAGTGGCAGCATTGGTACTGTCGAATTCACAAATTATGAATTACTGAAAAGTAGAAAATAAAACAACTAAATAGCGGCGTATGATATGCCGCGGGTCGGCTCGTATACTATATCATAAAACAGACTGTTCCAAAGATAAAAAATAAAAAGACTGTCCTAAACGAATTAGTGCCGCTACAATATTTTTTTTCTGACATAACTAATCATCATCTTTAAAGGATAATGCATCTTAAGGGGAATTTAATTGATGTTGAGTTAAGTTTTAGGGAACGACAATCATACAGCGTAACTATTAATTTTTTTTGTCGCACACACACACACACACACACACACATATATATATATATATATATATATATATATATATATATATATATATATATATATATATATATATATATATATATATATATATATATATATATATATATTTGGCGGGGCGCCAAACTGAATGTTCGCCCCGGGCGCCCGGAGGGGTCGCTACGCCTCTGCTGTATTTTATAACCATTTTTAAAGTAGGCGAAAACATTATACCAATTCTTATGTTGAGGCTTATTCAGCAAATTTCCAGTGGGTTTTTTTTTGTATATTATATCATCTTCCAAGTTTAAAGCTTATAACCCACATTATGGCGTCACGATTGAAATGTTAATACATTTATTTTTGTTCAATAAAAGAAACAAAACTGGATGCTCTAAATATATTTGTAAACTTTTTGTGTGAATTAGTGTTTTTTGTTTAATTAACCTATACTTACATCCTGATTAAGTTTGTAAGTTTGTAATTGGTCATGCCCGGATTAATATTTTGGATCATTAACAGAGTACATCTAAGTCCTATTCTATAACATGGGCAACCGTTGTTTATTATGTTTTCAATTTTTTTGGCTCCGAAACAAATTCAACTTAACAGTAACATACTATTAACTTTAGCTATTTGAACATATCACACAATCCACATACGAGAAGAAAACCAGTAACCATTTGATCCCTTATGTGGGATAAATGAAATAAACATATAAAGGAATTATGTGGTCAGAATTATTTATTTGTCGCCTTCATCCAACTGTAGGTGGAAGGAGTGTGCCGGTGATGGTGATGATGATGATGGTGATGATGGTGATGGTATTGATGATGATGATGGTGATGGTATTGATGATGATGGTGATGGTATTGATGATGATAATGATGGTGATGGTATTGATGATGATGGTGATGGTATTGATGATGATAATGATGGTGATGGTATTGATGATGATGTTGATGGTGGTGATGGTATTGATGATGATGATGGTGGTGATGGTATTGATGATGATTATAATGATGGTGATGGTATTAATGATGATGGTGGTGATGGTATTGATGATGATAATGATGGTGATGGTATTGATAATGATGATGGTGGTGATGGTATTGATGATGATTATAATGATGGTGATGGTATTGATGATTATGGTGGTGATGGTATTGATGATGATAATGATGGTGATGGTATTGATGATGATGATGTTGGTGATGGTATTGATGATGATGGTGGTGATGGTATTGATGACGATGGTGATGGTGATGATATTGATGATTATGATGGTGGTGATGGTATTGATGATGGTGATGGTGGTGATGGTATTGATGATGCTGATTGTGGTTATGATCACGATGATAACCTCCGTGAAAGTAAAAGAAAAACTACATTTTGTTTATTTTTAAACCAAGCTACAGGCATTTCTTCAAAGTATGAAACACACGACATTTTGTCAATGTCTAAAATCAATGCCCCCCCCCTCCTCATAACCCTATAACGCCTTATCGATAACAGGTCACTAAATAACTCGCCTGTTTACCAATGTCCCCCCACCCTCTTTGATACTTCCAACCCTACCTGGCAAGGTTCTCATAGAGCCTGCAACATCCTGGCACAGCAACTCTTGCTATCAAACTCATTTCATGTCCCTTTTTAACCCGAGTCGCGTCGTCAGAGGCTGGTAATGAAGCTGAATACGATGAGCTTGTATCAAGATAAAAAAAAAACTTCCTCAGCGATTACGCGGGTCCTTGGTCGTGTGGCTTTCGCGAGGAGCGGAAACTGTGACACTAGTGAAATGAGCATTAAAAATCTTATAAAAGTCTCCGTGTTTATTGCTTGTTTTTTATCGACGCTGTGGGGATTGAGCAAGGGGGGTAACTGTTGTTGAACAAGGGGCAGTAACTGTTGTTGTTCAGGGGCAGTAACTGTTGTTGTATTTATGGAGTGAGAACCTCAAGGTGGCGTTGGCACACGCGACCACTTGATAAGCCCTCAATTTTGTGACCCCCCCCCCCACCCCACCCTTCCCCCAGTAGGTGGGGACGACGGTATTGACTTCCGCGTCACGTGATGGGTTAATTAGGGCGCGCCGCTGCTGTAAATTATCCTCTTAGGGGTGCTCGCGACCAGATTATCGCGAGATTAACATGGGATTATGTTTAGTGAAGTAGGGGAAGGGGCTGGGGGTACCCTGGTTATATCACCAATGATACGTATTATTTCTCTTTATTCTGATCTGGGGTTAGGATATATCGGCCTTAGATAAATTCATACTAGATTTTGGGGTCGGTGTAGGGTTGATGATACATTGATCCTAGTTTGAGAGGTCGGGTGTGAGGGTTTACATTGATCCTAGTTTCAGAGGTCGGGTGTGGGGGTTTACATTGATCCTAGTTTGAGAGGTCGGGTGTTGGGGTTTACATTGATCCTAGTTTCAGAGGTCGGGTGTGGGCTTTATTGATAACAACACCAGTGTTATTTTTTTATGCACGATAGACTAGCGCCGGCAGACCGGCAAAGTTCACCATCAGGACGTTGTTTGTAAACATCACAAGATATTCGGTCATGTGTTTACAAGGGTCTATATTTGTTGAGAACGGTGAAGTTAGACAATGTGTTCCCATCATTATTTAACACACAGCATATCATAGATTTGAGTTCTTTTATTTAATTTTCGTTTTACTTTTTCGTATACGAAGTATAGAGGAAGTATTGAAATCGTGCACACAAAAAAAAATCGATTCCTTGGTCGAAAAACATAGTTTTGCAATTGTGTCCGTATGTCTGTGTGTGTGTATGTGTGTGTGTGTGTGTGTGTGTGTATGTGTGTCTGTGAACACGATAACTTGAGTACCGTTACAACTAGGTTGATGAAATTGTA